TGCTATTCTTTCACGCTGCATGTAATACCAAGGGACAACAAAAGTCATGAGGATTTCCACAAGGGCGGCGATGCTTGGAAAATGCATCAACGGCGGTCTTCGGTCATCTTCGTCAGGGATTTTCTAAACTCCCAAGACGAAAAATGTATTAGCTTACGTAACAATATTAGTCATGAAAAGTACTAAGTGTATATCTTTTAGTTGACTTGTTATGGTTCCTGGCGATGAATATTTCGTCTTATATTGATGTTCCCATCTGGAAGCTCAATACTAGCATCTGAACTTATGCAAAACTTAGTATATGCTGCTCAGTGAAACAAACTCACCACGAACTTGAAGGTATAGTGTGCCACTTGGCATTTGATCCATATCACAAATCAAATTAAAAAAGAACGACAAATATTATAGTACATTTTGAAAGAACAGGATAAACACCCATGTAATAAGTGGGGTAAGCGATTGTCGGGACTATCCAGATATATTTTTCTTTGGTTAGGTACCTACTTAGCAAGGAGAATTTTATAGGTCCTATTTAACTTCCTTTAGAAGACCTATAATAAGTTCTCATCTTGAACCAAAATGTGTCATGGTGAAGTATACTTTTCTATATAGCACTTAACAATTACAGAAAAGGTAACCTTTTAAGTCATTCACTAGTTAAGCTATGCAATATGCCAAGTGTGTTATAAAACCCCCCTTTTTTTATTATCTATTTTATCACTTTTCTAAATTTTTTTTTCCTTTTCTATAAATTAATTGATGGGAGTAGTGGACATAACTGCTCACCTATCATCGAAGCTAGCCTCTATTCCAAATACCAAAGTACTTGAATAGAATTTGAATTTTTTAGTTGCACCCCGGGCATCTTGAATGCCCGCAAAGAGCACATCCGGATATTTCCACCGGACTGCGGTTCCCGCATAGACAACATCCCCAGCTGCCGTTTGCATGTAAGGAGGTGGGCTCCTGATGTGCGAGTCCCTTGCCTTGTGTCATAGCTCCAGCCATTGTTGATGTAAATAACGAAATGTAGTTTATGGGAAAACGAAGTATAGTTTGTGTGAAGAGGAAGTTAGTATCTTTTATAGGAAATACTCTTGAACTGAATAAGTCGCTTGAGATGTTGTAAAGTAATGGCTATGGTTGTGAAGTTAAGATGATTGTGCTTGTTGGATGATTCGATATCTCTATAGAAATCTTGCATGCTTATATAGAATCCATGGGGCGGGCTATTGTTATTTAAGACATAGAATTCGTAGCTGTATCGATAGCTTGTTCCCAGACACTCATATTTTTCTGCACAACAAAGTTGTTGTTTTCCTCAACTTTTCACAAGATGTTATTGAACAAGTTCCACCCTGTCCATATACCATAAATTCACAACATCATTGTCCATACATTCAACTTGTTTAATCGGTGCTCTAAACCTAAGGACATACCACAGAGACAATGCTAGGTAGCGCATGTAGCACAGACCAGATTCAAACCACGGGCTACCACCAACAACAAAATGACCACTCCAATACAAACTATGGATGACGCAGTGAGGCTCAGCGAAGAGAGCTTCAAACTATGGTCTAGCCTATATCATCGTGCCATCAAAGACCCCAGCTTACCTACCTCTTACCTATCCCTTCCGGACTTATTTCGCCTACATCCCTCCTTCTCAAATAACTTGAAGCACACCGAATATGCTAGTCATGGCAGAGTATATGCCACCGGGTCCTCCATTCGGGGATCGCAACAGACGAGCTGCAACTATGGACTACCATATTTCCGGCGGCAGGTGCAGATTGATGTTATCGTACGAGATCCAGTGTTATTATCGATCGCCAAGACATCAAATAACAACCTCAGCTTCGCGCCGTGGTTCATTGGTGGTCATCAAAACTATCATGCCGTCCTCACTTTGGCTTGGGCTTATATTCTATCTGCTCGCTGGATCGAAGTGATGTCGGAACCTTGTTCTCTCGTATGTACAAGCAGCAGTGCAGCTGAAAGATAGCATGACAAGCTCGGAAGCTGATCAGAACGTAGTAAGTGTGGACATTGGTGATGTTAGCTCGGAGGAACTTAGATGGTGGGCTGCTATTCTTGCCCCGGGGCATGGTTGGCAAGCAACTATGATTCTGGGAGAAAACACATACCTGTCCCCCTGGTCAATTCGCTTTCAATCTGGCCCGCGGTTTTCCTTGTTATATAAAGCGACCTCGTCACCACCTCTATATCTATCACATTCGGCTCCATCATTTCAAAGTGCCAGTCATTTTCTTTGCAACTTCTGCACAAGGCATAATGTTGCGGATCAGAGCCATGCCGCGCTCGCTGCTGCCATACTGCTTCCCTCCATGAAAAGCAGCTAGCCACTGCAACTACCAGCTCCCACGATTAGCGACCAGAATAATCCAAAGATAACTACATCGCCCCCAGTTTCACAAAAACATCTTCATTCTGAACACCAACTAGGGCATGAGTGGATACTCCAGGAAAATTACTTGGACAGGCTTTTGACTTTGAGCTGTAATGTCAGGGGTATACGAGCAATGTTACCTCGAAGCACGAGCTGACACGGGTGTAATAAGAAAGGGCTATAGTTGTGAATAGCTAGCTGCCCCCCTCTCTTACAACTGTGAGTGCTCTCGAATACTTATAAGTTAGGTGGTAAATTGAAATATTGGAGGCATCACAATAACCACTACCTCACTCACTGCATCATGAGTTAACCAAGGAACTACCGAGCCTCTTAAGACCCGGGTAACCGGACAGTCCTTGTAAAAATACATGGGCGGCTACTATCGAAGATTCGTATACCACGAAAGCTTAATGATTCCGGGTAGGACCGAGGTCAACTCGTCCATCGAAGATCTGGCTAATACCATTGGGCTGATACTCCATATTTATAAACATTGCTATTCGACGATGCAGTAGGGCATAGGGACGGGAAATTCACTAACAGGCACATTGACATCTGGGTATGCAGTCTGATTTGGAATTGCCGAGCCAGCCACGCAGAACATCCCGAACTGCTTACAGCATGTACGAATTTATAGAAAACCTCGACATTAATGGGCTGTAATTGGTAAGATAGGAGTTTTGAGGAGCCTGGGATTAGAGTGTCGTATGTGATTCGTGGAACACCGTAGTATCCGCCACCGCCTAAATTTATTAATATAGAAGCAATTCAAGATTAAACAACCAGGATAGCATGCAGCGGCATATGGAAGAAGTAGTCGCAGAATCATGTATTTAGGAGTTATATCCCAGGTTATCGCGCAATGGGTCAGCACCTTTCTACTACAAGCTTTAGATCCTCATAGACAGTAACAGCCATTTCGCCCAAGATGCAGTGGAAAGCCCTCGCTCTTGCGCTCCTCGTTGAGCATGGCTCCGGCCAAACGTTGGAGATGCTGCGTTTCAGTTGCTCGCAGCTCGTTGTCGACCGTCTGGATCCTTTAGTTTCTCCCGGCTCTATCCCATCGCCCCATCTTCACCAAATCGTCGGAGGTAACTCCTTTAACGCTACCATGGAGCCGATAGCGCACGACCTGCCCTCGTCATCAACATGCACCAGCTGTACTTTCTCGGAAGACTTTTCCAACTATTGGACGGCGGTTCTGTTTTTCAAAGCCCGCAACGGAACGTACAAGCGGGTTCCTCAATTCGTCAGTGAAGGCCTCCGAGCCGACGGCGGCATTACGATTTATTATATCCCGTCGACTGACACGAAGGAAACGGTTACCGCCTTTAAGCCCGGCTTCCGTATGCTTGTTGGAGACGCCGCATTACGCTCCCCAGGTGAGGCACGCAAGGTGTGCCACCGCTGTATGCCGGCGACAGGAGACAATAGCAACGTAAACTGCGGGGCTCCGGACAGCCAGGAATTACCCACGGGGTTCTGTGACGGTGGTATACGTTCAGTCATCACCTTCCCAACCTGTTGGGATGGGAAGAACCTGGATAGCCCGGACCACAAGAGCCATGTTGCCTATCCCAGCCCGGGATCTGGTGATGTGGGTGTTGGCGCATCTGGTACTTGCCCTGAAAGTCACCCCATTAAGATACCCCAAGTGATGTTCGAGGTCATGTGGGACGTAAGTGTTATCAATATATCTTCTAATATGCCGTCAAGACTCGTGCTTCAGCTGGAGAGTCTCACTCGATATTGGAGTGGCTGAGTTATGCGCTCGGTTCAACCCTATCAGGGATGCCGTGTAAGATCTATTGCTGACATCGTATGCGTCACAGACCCGACCCTTTAACGACAAGAGCATATGGCCTGAGGATGGCTCGCAGCCATTCGTATGGAGCACAAATGACAAGTTAGTCTTCAGAAGCACTCCCGTCGGGTAAATTATTCTAATAACAAACGTGTAGGGATGGATATTCGCAGCACGGAGACTACGTCTTCGGTTGGAAAGATGATTCGCTCCAACGTGCCATGGATTCCCGATGTAATGGCGCCGTCTGCAATCAGTTAAAGACACAGTCCTCGGAGGAAGCGATGAAGTGTACCAAGCCGCGCGTTGTCGAAGAGGATGTCGACGGATGTAAGTCATCCCACCTACATACCTATGTGTTTTATGATCTTCCAACGGGATAAACTTGGCTAACCACCCTACAGGGCTAACTGAAATCCCCGGAATGTCTATGTAAATTGTTTCTATAAGACAATGGGTTTGGGTGACCGGGGAGAGAGTAGTATTAGAACGAACTCTATTCACAAGCTAGACCTACACGAATCCCAACCCGAAGTCTTCCTGAGTCTCTGAAGTGTCTATATTATAAACATTATATAATAGCTCAGTTCCAGATGTATCATTTCGTCCTTAGGAAATAAATCTTTTCCGGGATGGCCATTATAGGTACCCCTATTTAACTCACCATAATGACAGTCCAACATTATCTAAGTTATGGCACTTAGCGAGAGTATAAGTTTAGCTTAAAACCTGCCAATAGCAAAAGTTCCAATTATTTACTAGCTCAGGGTTATAATCTTCGGGTCACGGCGATATCTTCGTGGCGATTGAGCAATGCTCACTGAAGTGGCGGTTGCCCGAATTTGTCCCTAGTTTTAGTTCTCCCTTCCCAATAACGAAGGACGGTAACTGCTCCATATGGCCGTAAACATACTTCTTCACATCAGCCTTGTTTGCGCAGATCTCCAATGTCGCACAGTATTTAAAGCTTGCTGTTATATCGGGAATGAACCTTGATGTAGCTAGGAAGTTCGTCTCATGCTTTTGTTGGATATTAAAGATGTCCGAGATAAGTTTGGACCGGGTACTACTAGACACCTGGCACTCATCGAGTGCATCAATGATAACAAATACTCTAGAGTAAAAAGAGATGACAATTCCCAAAGCTCCCGAGACCTCATCGTTTGATGGCCGCCTCCTATCTTGTTCATAACGCTCGTAGAGGTCCTTTACCGTATTCGGGAGAGATGGTCTCCCTTGCGCAAGCTGCTTAAGTAAACTTAGGGTTATATCTGTAACTGCCTGTTCAGATTGCCGTCGAAATTTGCAGTAGATATATGCAATGCCAACCCCTATGTCATCTTGAAATCGAGCAAAAAGGTCATCAACAACTATAGAAGACAGAATTGTCTTACCAGCTCCGAGAATACCTAGACAGAATAGCGTCTGGTTCTTCGTATCTACCCATGATCGATACTCTAGCGAGTCAAGAAACCATATACCGGTGTCTGGCTGTCTTTGGCTAATGAAATCTGCTTGCTGAGCAGCATAGTCTATTGGGGTAAGCCAGTCAAGGATCACACGGCGTTCCTAGTCGTCCTGACTTCTTGCCAGCTTATTGATGGTACGACTAGAGCATTGCTATCGAAATGAGTCCAACAATCGAATATTCGAAGTGATTGGGCTTCGAAAGTCGCGAATTTCGCCAGCATCCCACGTAAGCCGTTCCCATGCCCTTCTGGCTCTATCAATACCATGTTGTTTTGATCCCAATTTATTATATTTCGAGATCGCCTTTTTGAGATCGTCTAGGACGCGTTGACAGCTACTCGTAATATCATCGAGCTTGCGTTTCTGCTCGTCGCTAAGCTCGTGGTTAGATATGTCATCGTCAACATCTTGAAGTATGATCGTGAGGCTTCTGATCCTACGGACAATTTAGTGCCTTTTTATCGTCGATACCTAACATTCCGGGAACTAACTCAGCCGAAATCTCATGAAATTGACTCGGAGCTCCAGCAAACTCCTTTCGGACTTCGCTAGTTAGCTTAATGACCGCAAGAAAGTCACTGACACCAAAACCGAAGCTCATTTTTACAGTAACTTGATCGTGTTGGGATTAGAGTGTAGAAAAGATACAGGTGCGGTATTCTTAAGGAACGGGATGAAAGGAAACCACTATAGTCAGTAACCAATTTAATAAGCTCAGCCATCGCAGTAGAGCCTTTTCTCTCCGGTGAGAGTATATCCAATCGTGGCAGTCTATACACTAAGTACCTAGTACGTTGCTCGAACCAATTATATTTACAATTTACTAGGGAGTAATGTGCGATTCTCGTACGTCGGAAGACAGCATTAGTGCTTAGGGGGTATGAATAAAAATGAAGGGTCATATCTCGCTTTTCTTTATGCTTAGGAAAGCATCATAAATATCCTTTAAATACCTTTGATATAATGAACGATGAGATGGTGATGAATATTACTGGCCTAACCCTTATTACAATTTCCCTTTTGCGTTTGAAGGCTCCAACCTTGTCATATTTCTGGCTATAAGCCAAGGTCCATATTGAGACTATCAATGGTAAAGTACTTAGAAATAGTTCCTGGTCTTGTCATATGTTCAAGCACTAAGACTGGCAGTGTCGATGATCCGTACCCAAGGGCCGTTCTTCAACTAAAGTGAGAGATATTAACATATGTATTGTCCGGCTGAAGCGTAAGGTAGGGTCTGATGACACGGGAACCCCGGCGAGTATCCGTCAAATATGAGTACGTCGGGGGTAGTAGTGGTAAAGAGCGCAGACATAGATATATGCTTTTTTTGTCTCTTGCTTCCGACCTTCGGCATAACTACGTATCATATCACTTACTGCGATGTATCTATAAAGTTAGAGATATATGTACAGAGCCGTTATAAGTTATCTCCAACCTTCAATCGACATATAATCGACATAATTTGACAAATAGGGCCAATCAGAAGTGTCGATTGTTTAGTCTCATGCATGCAGGCAGTAAGGTTGGACATAACTGGGCTTCATTGACCCCGCATAAATTTTAAGCGCGGAACGGAACCGGCGAGTTATTTGCTTCCCCAACTCCCTAATTCCCTTGTTCCTTTTTTGAGTCATTAAGAACATTGATAAGTTTGTCATTGCGACAGAGCGTATATTATGAAATATCCAAGTGGAAATATTTTACTTCCCTTTTTAAGCAGTTGAAACTGACTAAACCACATTAAAGAATAAGTGTCTAAGGTATTAGTATTTTACAATTTGCTACATATTTCCCTATTTCCCTGCTTAACCTAGGTACCTAAGGGATTTGGTAAATACTTGGCTCAGTTAAGGCTAATGATATAAGAAATAACATGGATCGAGATAGGTCACAGATCATCTGGTCGACATAGATGCATGATCAACGTTACACAATGAGATAACTAGCCAGTCGTAACTTGAGTCAGCACACCTCTAGTATTTACGCCTAGGCCAATTGTAAAGAATGATATCATTTGCTACGGCGAAACGTTCGAGATCAGGTGGTGGGTACCACAAACATAAAGGCGTCAGAGCGTGTAACAAGCTTGAATACTTGTAAGGGCATGTTTAAATTATCTTGGGCATTTTGTATCACTGCTCGAAAGTTTTCAATGACTTAACTACTTTTAGTATAATCTATAGTTTCTAAAACAGACGAATAGAAGCGTGATTACTTGTATATATCTATATAATACCTACCTAGTTACTATTTTTATAACTACTTAAAGTCTTTATTTTACATATCTCCGTATGTAAGTACATATATAAGAGGTACCTAAAGTATGTACCAGTATATTACAACGAATATAAAATGCTACATAGTATAATCGTGTAACGCACCTTAGGTACCTACCTCATATCTATGTAATAAAGTGCACCTAACTGTATGTTGCGAACCTTAAGCAGCTGCATTCGGAACGTGTTTAAGGTGGGACAGTGGATCTGGCTCGCGTGCTAGCCGAGACTGGAGTTAAGGATTCTAAGCTTGGTCTAGTTAGGTCCGTTATCAGGAACGAACCAGTCCAGCTTACCGAAAATCAGTGATATCTCTTCGGGTCAAGCAGTTAGATCTTGTACATACCTACATATCTGCCTTCCCCAGGCCAACTATCGTCACTGCATATATGTACCGGAATACACCGCGCCAGTGAATAATCACCTGCAATGCCCCATATGCGGAGATCTATACTCACTACATGTAAGTACCTGACGGATACATACTGTATTATATGTGTTTGGAGGTTGCGTTCGGGTATTAGCAAGCCCACTCGGCCCCACTGATAGAAAAAGCTACATTAGCTCTAGTGTTAAGCTAGCTCCTGTACATTTATCATCCATCAATCGCAGCATCTTCTGGACTTTTTATGCTATCTCCCGCTCCACTCCCCCAAGAAGTTTCCCGATTCGCACGCAGCCATCATCTTCTTACCTCTTCATTTCTTCCCGTTCGCGACAAAAACCATTGTTACGTGCCGCTGCGAGTAGCTGCGTTGACTACTCTCTTCGACAAGAAGTCAATTGATTGTAGGAACCGATAATACTACCACATCAATCTGGTGATATCGTCAAAACTATCTACCACTTTCTTGAGTGGGGCCGGGGAGACGCAGAGGAAACATGAGCTTTGCCTCGTGTACGTGGCCGATATGGCGGACGGATGACTTCACGACATGTTTTCAATCCGAGTTAGTACTTCTTTGTGCTCGTGTCCAAGTTTAATGTGTATTGCGCCTACTAACGGCTTAAAAGCTATCTTCAGATTCTCTTCCCGCTTATACTAATATCTCTCTCTCTCCTTCACCTCCTAATACAGACTATCTACCGCAACGTCAGGTTAAAACGAAGACACGGCTACGACCAGATACCCGACCATCAAGACCACACCGAGGTGCCTCCGGAGGAGGATGACTGTCTAAGCACCGATGACGATGAAGGACTGGCTATCAATACAAATGGCGGTGGGCGTCTTGCCCTAGTTAATACCACCTCCAGAGGCTCTATTGTACAAGCCGATACTCCGCCCGCTCAAGATCTATTGGAGATTGTCGAAGAGGTTGCAATATGCGGGCTGGTAACTATCAATATTATCGCCCTCATCACTAATTCTTTTAGTGGCCGTGGGCAGCTGGCTGCTATCGTGGGCTTAGTCACTTGGGTGTATGTCTTGGTCCTTGCAACGCTTCGGTTATTTCTGAGAAACACCAAATGGCGAGTCCCACGACTATGGAATCATACCGCTTTTATATACGGATTCCAGTGGCTCTTTACTATTGTCATATTCCGCTCCGTCATAATTCATGCCAGCTCTAAACTTGTGCAGGTCCTAATTATTATCGAGTTTTGCCTAATAACTCTACTATTTGGGATAGCTTTAAACACTAGGAAGGGCAATAAGACAGTTGTCATGGAATGGGAAGGGAACCTCGAGCCGTCGCGCGAACCTCTAGCCTCTGTATTGTCCCTAGTGACCTTTTCTTGGATCGACCCTATGCTATGGCAAGGTTACAAGGAACCTCTCGAGATTAAACACGTATGGAACCTCTTGCCGCGCGATAAGGCCGCTACTGTGCTCGCCAACTATCGCCAAGTTAAGAAGACGACATCTCTCGCCCTACACTTGCTCAGGTATTTCAAGGGTCTGGTCATTCTTCAGTGCGCCTGGGCTACGCTAGGTGGTATTCTCACATTTGCTCCGACTCTTCTTCTCAAGGCCATCCTTGAGTACGTAGAACTACCGACGATCGCCCCAAGAAATGTCCTTTGGCTTTACGTTATCCTACTACCCCTATCAGACCTCATCCGCTCTGTCGCTGATAATCAAGCCTTGTGGATTGGCCGAAAGATTTGCATCCGGATCCGCGCTATCATTATCGGGGAGATCTATGCTAAAGCCCTTCGGCGCAAGGCGGCAAGCGGCAAACATGCCGTTCTCGGCGGTAATGATGCGAATAGTGCTAAAGAGACGAAGCTGGAGAGACTAAAACGATTCTTAAGACTAAAAAAGAAGACAGATAAAAATAGCAATGCTCAGAATGGTGATGTCGCTAAGAAAGACGGATCTAAGGACGCAGACGAACAAGCAAATCTGGGAACCATCATCAATCTCATGTCAGTCGACAGTTTTAAGATTTCCGAGTGCACTTCCTACCTGCACTTTTTACTGGCTTCTGCTCCCTCGCAGCTTATCGTATCTGTTGCTCTTCTTTACCAGGTCATGGGTTTGAGTGCAATTCCCGGTCTTGTTGTTATGGTCTTCCTCTTGCCAATTAATATCCTGCTTGCCAAAGGTTTCAACTTGACTCAGCGTAAGATCATGGCTGCGACGGATAAGCGAATACACACCACTAACGAAATTCTCCAAAATATTCGGATCATCAAATATTTTGCCTGGGAAAAGCGGTTTAGTGACGTTGTCGATGAGAAGCGACGAAATGAGCTGCGAGCCCTGCGGAACCGCTACATGATCTGGGCCCTTGCTGTTGCTATCTGGAATACTGTGCCGGTTCTCATTACGTTTTTCTCCTTTTTAGTCTATACCAAAGTCGAACGAAAGCCCTTGTATCCTTCCATCGCATTTACCGCAATCTCTCTCTTCATGCTCCTAAGAGTGCCTCTAGACCAGCTTGGAGACATGATTGCTCATGTCCAAGAGGCAAAGGTTTCAGTTGATCGAGTCGACGAGTTTCTAAACGAAGATGAGACGGACAAATATAAGCAGCTAGGGCCAGACAACGTAGACGAGAACGGCAACAAAGTCATTGGCTTCAGAAAAGCAACATTCATCTGGGGTGGCAAAGATGCAGTTGCATCAGATGGCTCGATGGCATTCCGTCTTCTCGATCTTGATATCGATTTCAGAATCGGCAAGCTCAATATCATTGCCGGTCCTACAGGATCTGGGAAGACCTCAATGCTCATGGCTTTGCTCGGTGAAATGACTCTGACGGAGGGAAAGATTTATCTGCCCGGTGGTCGTAGTCGTGAGGACGTTCGACCGGACCCCGCGACGGGCTTGACTGAAACCTGCGCCTATGTTGCCCAGTCCGCTTGGCTAGTA